AGGCTGCTTCCAAGTTTTGGCTATTGCAAATAATGCTGCAATAAACATAAGGGTGCACATATTCTTTCTAATTATTGTTTCAGATTTCTTTGATGATATTCCCAGAAGTGGATTTGCTGGGTTATAAGGCAATTCAATTTCTAATTTATTTTACTTTACTTTTTCCATTACCGTTTAGCCCCCTTATACCCCTTGCCTCTGCAATCACTACTCTGTTCATATCCATGAGTATTTTTTCCTTTGTGCTCAATTTCTCCAATCCCTAACCCCCTCCCCATAACTGTCATCCTTCTCTCTGAGTTTGTCTTTATTTGGCTCATTAGTTCAGTTCATTAGATTCCACATGCGAATGAAATCATATGGTGTTTGTCTTTCTTTGAATGGCTTATTTCACTTAGCATAATGTTCTCCAGGTCCATCCATACTGTCACAAATAGTAAATTTTCCCTTTTTTTAAATGGCCCAATAATATTCCATTGTGTAAATGTACATAGTTGTTTTATCCACTCATCCACTCGTGGAAACTTGGGCTGCTTCCATAACTTGGTCATTATAACTGCAGTGAACATAGGGGTGCTTATGTTCTTTTGAATTAGCGTTTTGGGTTCCTTTGGACATATTCTCAGAAGTGGGATTGCTGGGTCAAAAGGCAGATCCATTTTTAATTTTCTGAGGTAGCTCTATACTGCTTTTCACAGTGGCTGCACCAGTCTGCATTTCCACCAACAGTGCACTAGGGTTTGTTTTCTTCCACATTCTCTCCAGCACTTGTTTTTTGTTAATGTCTTTGTTTTCTTTTAATTTAATTGTTATTCAAGTACAGTTTTCTGTCTTTTACTCCCATCCCAGCCACCCCTTAACAGGAACCTAAACAACAAAACAAACAAACAAGCAAAATATAACCAAAGACACTGAAATAGAGAACAGACTGACCAGAAGGGAGAGGGTAGAGAATTTCAGGGGAAAAGGGGAAGGGTTTACAGGAACGAATATAAAAGATACATGTTGATGTCTTAATGGTAGCCATCCTGGAAAGGTGTGAGGTGATATCTCATTGTGATTTTAGTTTGCATCTCTCTGATCATTAGTGATATTGTGCATTTTTGTATGTCCATTGGCCATTTGTATGTCCTCTTTTGAGAAGTGTCCATTTAGTTCCTTTGTCCTTTAATGAATTGGATTGTGTGTCCTGTTAGATTTGAGTTGAATGTGTTCTTTACATATTTTTAAAATTAACCCCTTATTAGATATATAAATATATCTAACATGTATATATAATGATCTCCTCTACCAGGAGTTCTCTTTTCATTTTCTTGATTTTTTTTTTTGCTGTCAGTAGCTTTTTGGTTTGATGTAGTCCCATTTATTTATTTTCTTTCTTTATTTTCTTTCATTTTCTTTGCCCAAGGAGATGTATCAGAAAAGTATTGTCATGAGAAATATCCTAGATTTTACTGCCCATGTTTTTATTTTAGGATGTTTATGGTTTCAAGTCTACCATTAAGTTAATCCATTTTTAGTTTCTTCTTGTGTATGATATAAGACAGTAGCCTAGTTTCATTTTTTTCTGTACTTCTCCTATTTGTCCAACACCATTTATTGAAAAGACTGCCTTTACTCCATTGTATGCTCTTTCCTCCTTTGTCAAATATTAATCGACCATATAGGTGTGGGTTTATTTCTATTCTCTCTGTTCTGTTCCAGCGATCCATATCTCCGTTTCTATGCCAGTACCATGCTTTTCGGTTGATTTGTAGTATAGTTTGGTATCATGAAACGTGATTTCTCCTATTGTGTGCTTCTTTCTCAAAATTTCTCTGGCTCTTCTGGGTCTCCTGTGGTTCTATATAAATTTTTAGAATATTTGTTCTAGCTCTGTGAATTATACCATTGGTATCTTGATAGAAATTGCTTTGAATCTATAGATTGCTTTGGACAGTGTGGATATTTTAATGGTGTTAATTCTTCCTATCAATGTACTGAGTTTGTACTTTCACTTATTTATATCTCTTCAATTTCTTTCTTTAGTGTCTAATAATTTTTTGAGTACAGGTCTTTTACATCCTTGGTTAAATTTATTCCTAGGTATTTTCTGATGCAATTTTAAATAAGATTTTTTAAAATTTTCCCTTTCTGATAGTTCACTGTATGTATATATAAATGCAACTGGTTTCTGGGTATTAATTTTGTATCTTGCTACTTTACTGAATTCATTCATCAGTTCTAGCAGTTTCTTTGTGGAATCTTTGAGGTTCTCAACATATAGTGTCACGTCATCTACGAATAGACAGTTTTGTTTCTTCCTTTCCAATTTTGATTCCTTTTATTTCTTCTTTTATTTTTATTTGATTGCCATGGCTAGGACTTCCAGTGCTATTTGAATAAGAGTGGTGAAAGTGGACATCCCTTTATTGTTTTTGATATTAAGGGTAATGCTTGTAGTTTTTGCCGATTGAGTATGATGTCGGCATTGGGCTTGTCATATATAGCCTTTATTATGTTTAGGTATGTATCTTATATTCCCACTTTGCCGACAGTTTTTATCATAAATGGGTGCTGAATTTTATCACATGCTTTTTCTGCATCTAATGATATAATCTTTTAATTTTAGCATTCATTTTGTTTATGTGGTATATCACATTTATTGATTTGCAAATATTGCACCAAGCTCGCACCCCTGGAATAAATCCCATTTGATCATTGTGTATGATTGCTTTAATGCACTGCTGGATCCAGGTTGCTAATATTTTGTTGAGAATTCTAGCACCTGTCTTCATCAGGATAATGGCTTATAATTTTAAATCTATGTTATCCAGAATGTCATTTAAAGCAACTGCTTGTTTGTTTAATTTCTTTCTGGAAGATCTTTCCATTGATGTCAATAATGTTTTAAAATCCCCTACTATGACTCTATTACTAACAATCGCTTCTTTATGTCTATCAAGATTTGCTTTACCCTGGCTGGTGTAGCTCAGTGGATTGAGCGTGGGCCTGCGAACCAGACAATCGCAGTTCGATTCCCAGTCAGGGCACATGCCTGGGTTGCAGACAGTTCCCTGTAGGCCAGTTCCCAGCAGGGGACGCACAAAAGGCAACCATACATTGATGTTTCTCTCCCTCTCTCCTTCCCTTCCCCTCTAAAGATAAATAAATAAAATATTTTTTTAAAAAAAGATTTGCTTTATATATATAGGTCATCCTATTTTGGATGCATAAACATTTACAAGAATTATAATATCCTGTTGGATTTATCATTATGGTATCATTATGTTGGGTTTTGCATTTATCACTATGTAGTGTCCTTCTTTGTCTCTTACCATAGCTTTTTAAAAAAAATTTCTCGCCTGAGGACATGCTTACTGATTTTAGAAAGGAGAGAAAGGAAAGAGTGAGGGAGAGAAACATTGATGTGAGAGAGAAATATCAATCAGCTTCCTCTAATATGCACTCCAATAGAGGAGCAATCCTATAACCTAGGCCCCGACCAGGATTTGAATCTATGAACTTTCAGTTTGTGGGACAGTGCTCCTAACAACTGTGCCACACTGGCCAGGGCTAGCCTTTGTTTTAAATTTTATTTTGTTATGTATAAGTATTACTACCCCACATTTTTCCCATTTCCACTTTTATGAAATATCTTGTTTTATCCATTTACTTTTAGCCAGTATATATCTTTACTTTTGAGGTGGGACTCTTGTAGACAGCATACATAGTGGTCTTGTTTTCTTATCCATTAAGCTACCCTATTGTTTTGATTGATGCATTTAAGATATTTACATTTAAAGTGATTTTGATGGATACATTTTTATTGCTTTTTTATTCTCTTAACTATGTTCGTCTTTTTTTTTCTTTTTCTTAAACAAGATATGTTAACATTTCTTGTAATAATGGCTTCATGGGAACAAACTTCTACAGGTTTTTCTTGCCTGGGAAGCTATTTCTCCTTCAATGTAAAATGTAGCCTTGCCAAATAAAGTAGTCTTGGTTGTAGGTCCTTGCATTTTATCACTTTGGATATTTCATGCCAGTCCTTCCTGGCCTGAAATGTTTCTATGGAGAAATCAGCTGACAGTCCTGTGACATCCTTTTCTTGTAGGTAACTGACTCTCTTCCTCTTGTGGCTTTTAAGATTCTTTCTTTGCTTTAACCTTTGCTGTTTTAATTATGATATATTTTATTGGAGTCTGGGACCTTCTGTACTACCTTGACACTTGTGTTTCTTTTTCTCCCCACAGTTAGGGAAGTTTTCAGTCATTATTTCTTCAAATAGGTTCTTGATACCTTGTTCTGTCCTTTCTCTTTCTGGTACCCCTGTGATGTGGATATTGTTATGCTTCATGGTGTCTCAAATGTCCCTTGAACTATCCTTATTTAAATTTTTTTTTCTTTTTGCTGTTCTGATTGAATGTTTTCTGCTACCTTGTCTATCAGATGGCTGAAATGATCCTCTGCATTAGCTAACCTATTGTTTATTCTTTCTAGTGTATTCTACATTTCACATATTGTATTCTTTATTTCTGACTGGCTCTTTTTTTATGATTTCTATGTTTTTTTCATGCTACTGTAGTTCTCAATAATTTTTTGAAGTTCTCATCAAGTTCCTTTAGCATCCTTATAACCATTTTTTTTGAACTCTGTATCTAGTAAATTGCTTGCCTCCATTTTATTTACCTCTTTTTCTGGAGATTTATTCTGCTTGTTTTTTTTAAATTGTTTTGGGCATGTATCATTGTCTCCCCATTTTGATTGCCTCCTTTTGTTTGTTTCTAAGTATTAGGTAGATCTGCTATGACTTCCAGTCTTGGTAGAGTGATCTTATGTAGTAGATGTACTCTAAAACCCAGTGACTCAGTCTTCTTGATCACCTGAGCTGGGTGCTCCAGGAATATCCCTTGTGTGGGTTATATTGACCCTCCTGTTGTAATTGAGTCTAGATTGCTATTAGCCCATCCATGTGTGTGTTCAACCTTCAGGCTGGCTGACTGTGAAGATTAACTATGGTCACAGTATACAAGCTGCTGCACAGGTGCTGACCACAAAGAAGAAGAATTCACCTCATCAGAGTCTGATGCCTGCCAAGATCTTTTGGGTATGTTGCTTGTGAAGCTTATCAGATCTTGCTCTGAAGCTGGTCACTGAGTGTGTTATTTCTGGGGCCTCTTGGGTGGGACTCTGCTGCAAGCTAATGTCAGATACTGCCTTTGACTGGCCTTGGGCAAACTGTTAGGGACTACGAAGTGATCCACAATTTGTGGCTGATCTGTAGGGACTAAGTGTGCTCAGAAAGGACAAAGCTGTGCACCAAGACTGGCCTTTAGTAGCACTGGGCCTGAGGGCAGGTCAGCAAAGTTCCAAGGCACTGGCTCCACCTGCCTCCACCTTCTGGCTTCCTGTTAGCTTCAGTTACTGAAAGATCCTCTAGTAGTACTCAAGTTCCATGAGGTAGGTTCTCAGTGAGTAACCAGGTAGAGGCAAGCATTGTTCACCAGAATGATACAGGTTCAAACTTGGTACCAGTGCTGGGTTTGAGGGTACTTACCAATGTTCCAGGGTATACCAAATCTAACTGCCATCTACTGGGTGCTCACACACCTTTGTGGGTAGGCAAGCCATCAGAGTTTATCAGGCCCCAACCGACCAAGATTTGACTGTGTGAAGGAAGAACTCTGCACCAATCAACCATGTGAGAAAAAATTGGCCCTCAGCCTAGAGCCACCCAATTCAGTGTATCCCAGATTCTGCCAGAAGGCAAATTTCAGTAGGATTAGACCACCAGGTATGGAGAGGATGGAGCTAGTGAATCTCCCATGAGTCAGGCTTGGGGAAAAGTAGGGGGAGTGGTCCCCACCCTACAGCCACACAACTCACTCTGTCCCAGATTCTGCTAGGTGCCATATTTCAACAGGGCAAAGCTGCTGGGAGTCAAGAGCACAGGGCTATTGGATCTCTTGTTGGGGGTGGTGTTGGTCAGGCTTGGGGGAAGGGGGTGTGTCCCCTACCCTAGAGCCACCACACGACTCAGTCTGTCTCATATTATGCCTAGATTTCAGCAGGGTAAAGCCACTGGGAGCTGAAAGAGTGGGGCCTCTGGGAGTCCAAAATGTGTGGTGATTGGATCTCCTATGAGGAGAAGGCACCAGTCAGGTTCATGAGAATGCAGGGGGAATGGCCTCACTTACCCCAAAGCAACACAACTCAGTTACTGAAAACGCCCAAGTCAGCCTGGAACTCTATACCCCAGCCCAGGCCCTGAATTCTCAGCAGGGCACAAACTCCACAGGGTAGGGTGACAGGGAGTCCAGAGGGTGGGATTATTGCATTTCCTCAGGCTGATGACCTAAGTAAGGGAGTGCTCTACCCAAGAAAGATGGTGTCTGCGGTATGGGAAGGGTCCTGGTGGCTGTCCCCTCAGCTCTCTCCCCAAAGCCACAAACCCCAGTCTCTCCTCATGTGACACTAATCCAATCTATCCTCCCTCTGCCAAAGCCCAAGGTGAGTGGCTATGAATGCAGTTTTGTGCATTGGTCCTTTAAAAGGTGCCTGTGTCTCTAGCAGTCTTATCTCTCTCTGGTAGACAGAAACTCTGCTGATTTTTATAGTCAGATGGTATGTGGTTACCTCTTCCTGGCTCTGGTCCTCTGGGTTGGGGATCCCAGCTTGGGATTGAGACCCTACTCTTCTCAGGAGAAACCTTTGCAACTGAGATATTCCTCCAGAATCTCAGCCACTGCCCATGGAAGCAGGGCCACCTCTTTGTGCATCTCCACCCTTCCTACTAGTCTTGATATGGCTTTGTCTATAAATCCTTGGTAATAAGACTTCTTTTCAGCTAGTCTTCAGTTGGTTGTTCAGGTTGATAATTTTATATTTTAATTGTAATTCCAGTGTGGTTCTGGAAGGAGGTAAGTGTAACGTCCACCTATTCCACTGCCATCCTGTTAATTTGGGCTTTGTTTCTTGATTAAGAAAGAAAGCTTCAGAGGAACAAATTTCAATTCATTCTGAAATCCTTATGTATGACTCAAAGATAAAGTTACAAAATTGATTCAGTTGTTTTAAAGATCTCAGATGGTAAGACTAGAACACATTTGACATCTTGTTTGAGTACATGAATCTAATATTCAGATTAAGAAGAACCAGAAATATGAATACACTAGCAGAATGGTACAGCTTCCTGGAAGTGCAGTTAGAGTGAGAAAGGTCATGCGGTCACAGGGAGGACACAGAAGCCAATAGCCTGTCCCCAAGTGATACCCTGGTGATACTGCATAAAGATTTTACCTCTGTACACCTCAACTGCTCATCTTTAAAGTAAAAATAATAACAGTTTATATGGTATGTCTCCAAATTGAGGTTCCCATATTTTATTAGATAAACTGCTATGGTGCAAAAAGAAATGATAAGAACTCGTATTTGTTTATTCATATGACTTTTATTTATATTTTTGTAGTATTATTTTGGTTTACAAGTATCCATAAAATAATGTTATGGTGGTATATTCACATACTTAAATTATCAAACATAATTTGTCTGTTCATGCTTAGTTTTTTACTGTTGGCTTAATTCACTGCTTAGCATGTGGCGAGTGCTCAGTAAATGCTTGAGATTGTCAAATTAATATTTTTAATTGTCATCGTATCATTATAAGTAAGTATAAAAGGATGAGTTATGCTCATCTGGTTTATTGTCTTGCCATCGTTGATGAGCTGGTGAAGCACACAAAAGTTAAAGGTCACAATTATCAGAATGAATGACACATCAACTCAACCATAATAGATAATGCCTTTATTATTATTATTTGAAAGTATGGGAAAATATTATGGTCAATAAGGGAGGAAAAGAGATTTTAATTTTTATGTCCCTAATGTATAAACACTAAGTACTCTGAAAAATATTTGTTATTGGACTAGGCTTTGTTATTGGATCAATTTGGGTTTTGTTTTTTTTTTCCCCCTCTCATTTTTAAATTTCTACTCATGCGAAGCATAGGATCCCAGAATTGTGGGAATTCAAGAAAGACATCTGCTGGTTCTTCAAGGCAGCCAGGTCCAGGGTTTGGGCGTCTAATCTGGGAACGTCCTTCTGCAGCCCAGCCAGTTTCCCTGCCATTCTTCACAAGGACTGTGTGTATGGCACCAGACTTACTTTCCCAGAAGTGCTTCTGGGACCTGTGTCTGCACAAAGGGGCTGTTAAATGTGTTTCCCTCCCTGCTGGCTCAGCTGACTCCTGGGCCTCAGCTCACATACAGCTCATAGTTCCTATCAAGTTTTCCCAAAGGACCCCTGGGCTCCTGCAGGAGCCAGCACTTCCCTGGAACAGGAAGTTCTATTTACACTGTCTTGGAGCCTGTTGCTCATCCATAAAAGGGAAAAGAACCCTTTAGGAAAAGGGCAGGGTCCTTGGAAACTCTTTAAAAGTGAAAGCTTTGCAACCAGTTTCTGTTGTTGTACACTGTTGGTTGATACAGTTTTCCAGAATATAAAAACACATGCTCTTTGGACTAGTTGAAGAGTAAATCTGAAAGCTAAAATTACAATAAATAAAAAATATGGGGAAAATGTCATGTGAACCCTCCAGAATGCATACCTAGAGCAGTTATGTCTCTCTTTGACCTTCTAGAACAAAATTCCATGCAGACATACTAGTTTATACATGAATTATTCAATTGTACTTTAAATGAGGAAGAAAAGCTATTTAGACTTTGCAACATCATAATGTTTATGTCTATGGATGGTTGCTACTAATTGCCTAGGCTGGTGGCTAGCATGTTTTCAATCATAATTTAAATTATTAAAAATAATTGTTTATAAGAACTACTATAAATGATCATTATGAATAATTATTATAAATTGTTACAAAGAGTTAGGTGCATCACACATATAAACTAATTTAACCCTCATGATAACCATGTGAATTAGATACTATCAAAATTTCCAAAGTACAAATGATACAAAGAGGCTTAGTAACTTGGCTGAAGTCATGGTAAGTAGTGAAACTAGAATGTAAACCCTGGAAATCTGGTCCCATATATTGGTGGTCTAGCCATTATATTCCATTTTCTCTACTCTGCCTAATCATGTTTTAAGCAATTTAGATACATTATCATGTTTAATTTTTTAAAGGTAATTTTTAAAAAAGACTTTATTTATTTAATTTTAGAGAGAGGGTAAGGGAGGGAAAGAAACATCAATGTGTGGTTGCCTGTCATATGTCCCCCCACTGGGGACCTAGTCTGCAACCCAGGCGTGTGCTCTGACCCACAATTGAACTGGCTACCCCTTGGTTCACAGGCTGCCACTCAATCCACAGAGCCACACCAGCCAGAGCTAGCATGTTTAATTTAAACATCACAAATAATGTGGCAAGTTTTATTAACTAACATATCTCATCGTTTTTCATGTATTCAGTACCTGCTAACACCTAGGACCATAACTAAGCAGTGATTCTGATGTCACTGGGACTGGAGAAAGAGGCTAGAGGTCAGCATCTTTGGTATGAGCACCTGTGCATTGCTAGGCAGAGATCACCATATGTCCAGCCATATCTGCCCTCCTCTCCCCATCATTACTTCTACCCCAAGCTTTGCAGCCCCACATGAAACGAGGTGTCCTGCATGTTGCTGATGCAATAGGATCCCCATTGCCACACAATTTCATTGCCTGGGACATGCTCCCCCACCTTTCAACCACTCAAGTTCACCTCACAAACTCCAGCTTAGGCATTGCCTTTCCTGACCACTGCAGAGAAGGTTAATCTTTCTTTCTTTGTGCTCCCTGAGCACCATGGGCTTTATTCACTTGCTGCTTGTAGCTTGGCGCATCACCATTTCTTTTTGATAGTGCCAGCTTGTAGGCCCTTGAGAACAGAACTGCGTCTTATTTAACTATAAAGTCCCAATACTTAACTAGTGCCTCACTCAGAGTATGCAGTTGATTTGTCAAACTAATTGAATGATCTCCTTTGGAAGTTACTTTTCCAAATTGGCAAGTCTCTCATGAGGACTGTCCCAGGGAAACACCTCAGGAAACTGAGAGATAATTTTGGGTTCCAGCAATGTGGAAGTTATTGATAACTCCAATAACAGCCAT